TAAGAATCTTATCCCCATCTCTTTTTACCAGCCCCTTCTATACAAGATGAAAACTATTCAGTGGGGCTTCACCCTTCCCCTGCACACTCTGAAACTAAACTCTCTCTTGAAAACTTGTAAGCCAGTCACTTTGTGCTTTTATCCTACCCCACTCCCCATTTTAGGTAGCCAATGTCTAAGTTGCGGGTCCCTATCACCCCTGTATACAGAAAGGATAAGGTTAATACTTTATGTGAAGACTCCTTCCAGCTCAGTTGGTATTTTGAGTTATGAAATCCATAAGTATAGGTCAATTTCATCAAATTGTAGCAATTTACACTAGTTTTCTTTAACAACAATAACAGAAAATTTTTCTTCGTCTAGTTGAGTTCTGATCATCACGCCATCAAAGCTAGGTTGAATGGGTACTATCTACAAGTTTGGGCATTCTTGTGCGTCTCCCCTCACTTCATATCAGCTGGGTACTTCACTCTCAGCTCTAGCCATCCATGGCTATGTCCTTGTCCATGGTCTCAGCAGTCCCCAGGTCTTACCACATTTCACATCAACCAACCCTTACAAAGTAAATTGCTTTTCACTCAGAATTTAAATATAGGTTCTGAACCAATTTTCTTTACTTAATACAAACCCCTATGTTGAATTGTACCCTTGCAAATATAAGGAGGTTCATTTTGTAATTATATACAGGAACCTGTACATAGACCAAGAAGCAGTTGTTAGAACAGAACAACGGGATACTGGTTTAAAATCAGGAAATGTGTATGGCACAATTGTGTTCTTTTACCATATTTACTCATGCTGAGAAAACAATCTGAGAAGCTGGATTATATGAAGAAGACCATGGCATCAATATTGGATGAAGATTCATTAAGAACCTGCAGTATGCAGATGATACTAGCTTAGTGGTTATGAGTTGGGTTATTAGCCTCCAAGTCAGCAGTTTGGAACTACTGGCCATTCCTTGGAAGAAAGATGAGACTTTCTGCTCATGTAAAGATTTATATAACCTCAGAAACGCTATGTAGGGTCGCTAAGAGTCAGAATCAACTCCTTGGCACGTAAGCACCACCACCACAACCTTGCTTGCTGAAGGCAACAGCTTTCAGTACAGGTTGCACCTCAATGTAAGGAAACAAAAATCCTCATAACTGGACAAGTAAGTAACATCATGATAAATGGGAAAAAGATTGAAGTTGTCAAAGACTTCCTTGAATTCACTCATGGAAGCACAAGTCAAGAAATCAAATGACATATTGCATTAGGCAAATCTGTTGCACAGACCTCTTTAAAATGTTTGAGAACAAAGGTATCAGATCGAG